TCCACGCCGCCCGCTCGCCCTCGGTCTTGGAGGCGGCGTAGATGTAGTACGGCTTCTTGTCTTCTGCCAGGCTGGGATCCCAGGCCGACTTGACTGCGGAGTCGTTCCAGGTGTCTACAGCATGTTAGGAAAACGGACAATGGTAGGTGTGTCTTGGAACATACTCTCATCGACGCGGACACCGGGCTTGTTAGTCTCCGGAATGATCACTGCCGAAGACGACGAGGTGAGGACGACGCGCTTGATGGCGGGGAACTTCGCTGCCGCTGCAAGGACGGTCTCAGTCGCCTTAACGACCCAGGGGATTACTGCGTTGGGGTCTTTGCTGAAGCTCACATCGGATGCCTTGTTTACTTGTCAGACTTGTCTAGATGGTACACAGTCCCTTGAGACTTACGACGTGAGCAACGGCGGAGACGCCGTCGAAAGCTTTGGCGAGGGCCTCCTCATCCTCAAAGTTGGAGAGGGTGATGGACTCGTACTTGTCCTTGCCGTACTTGCTCTGGAAGAGCTCGTCGAGCCATGGCTTGGAGGAGCGAACGGTGCCGCGGACGCGGTAGCCCTGTTCGAGGATGGTGTTGGCGATGTGAGAGCCGATGTAGCCGTTGGCACCGGTAACGAGGACCGTAGAGCCTTGCGGGAGAGCGTTGAGCTTGGCCATTGCGATTGAAGTTAAGTTTGAGGCAAGTTTATGCCAGCAAGGTTGAAGGTAGCTGGTATCAAATATGTGAATGCTGGATTTGTTGGTGTGACGATGACATGGCATTCAAAGACAGCGTCTAACGCAGGACGAAGTCAACTATTTATCTGTTTCAACCCATGGCTTCAAGCCGAACCCAAAACTCAATGGAACAGGCCGAACGGACGGTCGATGAACCGCACATCAGATTGGCAGAGCAGCCTGGCCCACGGTGGAGCTTTGAAATCCATCCAACGCGCCGAAATGGGGTCAAAAGAATGGACGAGAGGTTTTAGTTAGCCCGACTGGATTACAAACAATAGCTTTCCTGTGTGGACGGCGTTTCTGAAAGGGGGGAGAGAAATCCATATGCCGGCTATGACGTATTGTGACATGACACCAGGCCGTCCGAAGTTGGCGCGATTTCCTGAACAAGCACATCTCTTCGCGAGGAGGTTGAATTGCGCCGTTGCAATGGTTTGCTTACTGCATAGAGTCTGCGTTTCAATTTTACGACTATCTTCTTTCAAGAACCATTGGGCACAGGTGGGTTTGTGTTACCTTGGATTATCATGCACCGTGGAAGTCCATGGCAAATGCGAGCTGACAAATGGGATGCCGCTTGTGTTGATTTTAGGAGTTAGGCCAAACCCCGAGGGAGGTCGAGGACGCCGGAACTCCATATATTTCAAGGGCTGAACGTCTTTGAACCTCTCTATTCCCCACTGATAAATCCCGAGATAACTCATGTCGTAGCTATGCCATGAGCTGGGTGAGAGCCCAGGTCGGATTACACGCGCGTGTAACTTGCACAACAATCTCACCTACCCACGTCAAAGGACATGATCGGGCGAATGGACCTAGACCCAAGGTATTGTGATATTGCTGCATGTTCGGGCAGTGCTATGCTTCCGAGTATCGACAAATTACCATTCTAGTATCCTGATCGTCGAACTTTACGCATATTGCGTCCCGTTACGACGGCGAGCTTACCTGCAGCAAAACAGGCTGAGGCACCGTGGGCCAGTGGTCATGACGGAAGAAGCACATCGATCGAGATGTCCAAAAATCGCACTCTTCACAACTTGCAACTTGCAACTTGCGACCGCACCTTAGTGAATATAAACAGCAGAGGCTCATCGTGATTCTCCCAGACCGTGAGGTGGTGAATGTCGCTTTAATGGCCTCCACGAACGCTTGCACGTTATTTTTAGAGGCGGGCAGCCACGGTATGGCGGACCACGGGTCGCTTGGGCCACCGCCCGTCGGAGGAAATATTAGGCGGGTGACGTGCGGCACGGGGGGGAAACTTTGTTTGGGGGAGCCCATGGGGGGAAGATCTGACTTGAACGGTCCAGGCCAGGCGCTGGATCGCTGGATCGGGGGTTAGGTAGCCGACCAGCCGTCTCCAAGCTGGCTTGTGACCAGACAACGTGGGAGTGGGAGGTGTGTTCTGCAGGGAGGTTGAGCAACGTGGCAAGCCGGGGGCTGCAGAAGAGACGACGGCCGGCAGACTGCTGATTTGGTCCTGGGATGAGAGGCGCGACGGTGGACGACGGGACGAGCAGCGCAGTGGGAAGACGCGGGTGGCTGTCTCTGTTTTCTTACGTGTTCAAGGCGTTGTGCATGTCGAGGGGGAAGTCAAAATGGGGAAATGGCTCACATGCCAGCGGCAGCAAGGCATGCAGCATGAAGCTTTTGAGCACATGATGATGGGGGGTTGAAATGATGGAGGACTCGGACAGGGGAATAAGATTCAGGGAGAGACATGAGATGAACAAGCAGCCCCTGAGATGGTGCCGGGGGAGGGTGGTACAGCTCGGAATAAGAAACGCTGACGGATTCTGAATTCTCTTTGATGTCCCTTTTCCCCAAGGGTCGTGTGCAGGCTTGATTGAGGATGCTGGCAGACGACATTTGGTGATGGGGGCGATATGTCGTGCTGTTAGTGAGCTTGTACCATGGCCCGAGTGCTGCACGAGAGCAATGATGATTTGGTGGGAAAGGTACTTGTGGGAGCATCGGTCTAGCAGCATTAGCAGAAAGTGGCCCAAAACACCACAGAGATGCCCACCTACTCCTGTTACTAAGTAAGATACCTCAGGTAGAGTTGAATAAAGAGTACAGCAAGAACAAGTGCCGTTCAGGGCCCTATTCACGTCTGGACTTGCTCAACAAAACCCTTGCTCAACAGACGCACACAACGAGGATGGGACTTGACCGGAGCAGGCAGATGGCGAAAAAGGGCATCCAGGCCAGGGCACCAATTGAGTTGCAAGTGAACGTGGATCTCGGGCGCCCACTTGTCCCAATTTTTTCCCTCGGGCGCCTCAGCCTGGAGGGGTCAGCAGTGGACGAAGGAGGGCAAGGAGGGGCACTCTGAAAATCTCGACCGTGGCCATGGATGGGAAATGGGACGGGACGGCATTGGACAGATTTGCAGCTGAGGGCATTCACATGGATTTTGGGGGGACTCTGACTCTGTGAACCCCTCATCCACCAGAACGAATCAAGGACGCAGTTGAATGTGACAGAAGCAGAAGAAGACGCAGAGAAGACGAAGTTCAAATCAGGGCAGTCAGGTCAGACCTAGAGCTGGCCGAAGCAGCCGTCTGGTCTCACCATTGCTTTTGTTATTTCTTTTGTTGTCTGCGATCGGGGCTTCTCTCTCGACCTTATCTGAGTCCTCGATAATTAGCCAGGTGCTGGTGCTGGTACTTTGTCTGTGCTTACCTTACCTCAGCTGTGGATGTATCTACGCACGCAAAAGTGGCTTGGGAGTATTTGTACTCGCTATCGCGTGCTCGCTTAAGGGCTACAGCGGCCTGACAAGAGGCTAGAAGGCGGCGGGAAGCAACCCAACCACACCCGACCACCACACCATTCCACGGGCGGTGCACCAACCCAATCTGCACCCGATGGATGCCCCTCATTCAGTTCCTTACTCCGGTAAGGTACCTAGGGGAATGGCCCCCGTCGCTCCAGCTCAGCCCGAAATCAAGGTCCAGTGCTGCACATGCCGTCGGGAAAACTGACGGGAGGAGGAAAGGTACTTTGTGCACTGAACGCTCCAAGGCCTCTCGTCCCTCCAGCGACTTGAACCCCTAGGAGCACGTCGGACATCAGCAAATAGTGGAAAGGCCTTACCTAAGAAGGTACCTAAGCCTTAAGGTACCTTCCTCAAATCCGCCGCTGCGCAAGTTCAATCTGGACCTCGACGATATCGGGTTCCCACTTAACCCTACCTTACCCAGCCTGGTACCTACCTACGGCGATTTTCCAATCCACCTCTTCTTCCCGAACACCACCACCACCACCACCACCTCTACCTCTACCTCTTCCACGCACCCGACGACGACGACGACAACGTCAACAACGACGACCGCAATCGCAGCACGAAACGGTCGCCTCCAACCTCACGAGCGACGACGGCTCCGGCATCAGCCCGTCCTCTCCATATCAATCTCTCCTTTATCGAACCCCGTGGTCCGCCGCCGCCCGCTGTACAACACCCGACTGGACTGGACGCCTTTTCCACTTTTGTACGTGCGAACCCTTGTCCCGTCCCGTCTTCTGCCTCTCCCCGACCACTCGCTGCCTCTCTGCTTCGCCTCGCTCGCTCGCTGCCCTGCTTGCTTCCTGCTGCAGCTGCGAAGAGGCAGTGTGCGCGCGTACTCTCTCTCGCTTCCTCCGTCTATCTCTCTCTCCTGCACTCGCACTATCGTGGGCGACAACTTGGACGACATCACCATCTTCCCCATCATCATCGTCTCCCCGGAAAAAAAAGACGACTGCACCCAGCTGTGGCTGCTGTGCCGCCGTACTGTTGCTGCTCTGTGCTGCACCCTCAATTTTCCCGCACCTTTTCTTCCCCCTCCATTATCAATCAATCAGCTCCTCTTTTTCCGACCCCGATGCGCCGGCCCCTCCACTCCGCCGGCGACATCACAATTCACCACCTCAGTTCCTCACCTCAGCCCTCGTCCTTGCTGCATCCGGCTGACAACACACCTTCCGCTTGACCACGTCGCTAATCTCGCTGCCGCCCTCAGCTTACCAGTTATTCCAAGCGACCGATATACCCTGACGAGCTTCGCATGCATTGAAAGACTGGTATAGACTGCATCTGTCCCTCCTTCGATTCGAGTCACCCCTTCAACCACCCACCTACGAACCAGCCTTTGCCTGCCCGGACAGTCGACCGACTTTCGCATGCACAACCGCCGCATTGCCCACCACCTAACTCTGCTTCCGCTCTGTGTCCATCGTCGCCGCGATCCCTCCGGCGCCGTGACATAAACCGTCTACAAAAACCGCCAAAATGTTCTGGCGATTTGGCGGCTACGCCAATATCTCCACCATCGATACCATCCTCGAGAAGCCCGACTTCACCGTCGAAGACCTGCTCGACGAGAGCGATCTCATCCAGGAGCTTAAGCAGCACAACACAAAGCTTATCGAATACCTCCGAGAGGACAACGTCCTCAAGACCCTGCTCGAATATGTCGTTGCCCCGAAACTAGAGCCCGTCGCCACCCCGGCCGACACGGAAGAACCCAAAGAAGCCCCCGCCGACGAGTCCAAAGGCAAGGGCCGCCTGCTCCCCTTCTCAAGACCCCGCGCGTCCTCGCGCGCCACAGACACCGACAATGAAGAAGAAGAGCAAGAGAAGAAGCGCAATCGCTATGCCTACGTCGCTGCCGAGGTGCTCTCCTCCGACACCTGGTCCATCTACGAGGCCTTGATGGAAAACCAGCCCTTGATTCGCGAGTTTTGGCAATTCTTGAAGCGCCCTACCCCGCTGGACCCTCTCCAGGCCAGCTATTTCACAAAGGTCAACGAGGCCCTGTTCGACAAGAAGACGGAAGAAATGGTCATTTTGCTCAAGGCCCTTCCGGATGCCGTGTCAGATCTGCTGCGCCACGTTGAATGCCCCATGATTATGGACCTACTGTTGAAGATTATTGCTCTGGATCGCACCGAAGGCGGCCAGGGTGTTGTCGAGGTGAGTGTTTCTGGCGGCCACCAGAAAGCGACCTGACACTAACGATGCTCCGAACAGTGGCTGTACTCCCAGGACGTCGTGCCTACTCTGCTTACCTGCCTCAGCCCCGAACACAGCTGGGTTGTCCAGACGGCGGCCGGCGATTTCATCAAGGCAATCATCACCATTTCCGCCAATGCGTCACAAAACGAGCAGCAGTGCATCGGCCCCAACGAGCTTACGCGGCAGCTGGTGTCGCAGCCTTGCGTCGAGCAACTCATAAAGTACATGCTAGGAGGCGGAAACCCGTTGACGGTTGGTGTGGGCATCGTCATTGAGGTGATCCGCAAGAACAACTCGGATTACGACCCCGATGTCGGCACCGAATCCAGCTCCATGCCTTCGAGCAGAGATCCCATCTACCTGGGAACTCTCCTGCGCCTGTTTGCGCAACACGTTCCCGACTTTGTCAACCTGATCATGAACGCACCCGCTCACAGGGATCGCTTGGAATCCACCTTTGGCGAGAAGATAGAGCCTCTCGGCTTCGACCGATTCAAGACCTGCGAGTTGATGGCCGAGTTGCTGCACTGCAGTAACATGGGCTTGCTCAATGAGGTTGGTTCCGAGGACGTTATTGCGATCCGGGACGCCGAGCGTCAGCGACTGAGGACGGAAGGCAAGCTCTCCCCTAACCGGGGCGAGGAGGCCCAGTCCACCGACGACCTGACCATGCGCATCGGCCACTCATCTCCCGAGGAGGGTCGCAGACTGGAAGTGACCAACATCTCAGACGACGACGGCTTCGAGGAGGTCGAGCCCAGCCGCGAAATGAACGAGGATACTTCTCACGAATTCGTCAAGGCCGAGGAGGAGATTCCTGTTGCTGCTCCGGCATCATCCTTCTTGGACAGAGACGAAGACGATTTCGTGGACGAACCCCTGAGCTCACCTAGACTCAACGTGGCAGACGACAAGATTAAGGAGCAGAGATTCGATGACCCCGACCTGGTTGTTGCGCCGCTCTCACCTAGCAAGAACAAGGCACCTCTCGGAGAGGAGAGCCCTGCTGCCACGGAAACCAAGACCGAGGAAGAGAAGCCGACGGAGACCGAAGTCAAGGCTGAGGCACCTGCCGCCGAGGAGCAAAAGCCAGTGGAGACCAAGGACGAGCCCAAGGAGGACGTTTCGGAAAAGACTGCAGAAGACGTGACGATCTCCAAGGTTGGAGAAATGTCATTGGATGAGAAGGCCAACCAAAGCGCTGTCTCGGAAGATTCTAGCCAGAAGGGTGACGAGTCTGACTCTTCTGTCGTCTACACCCCCAGCGCGACCGAGTCGGAGGCCAAGACCGAGCCGGCTGAGACTGCGCCGGCCGCACCCGAACCCCCGATCTCTCCTCGACCGGAAGACATGCCTGCGCCGCTCTTTGCCAAGTCCTCTCCGGCCAAGGCGGAGGAGAAGGAGGCCGAGTCAGAAGCTGCGCCCGCCCCGGAAGTCCCAATGGCTCCTCCGGCCCCAGAGGTACCCGCAGCGCCAGCACCCCCTGGAGCGGACTCAGACCAGCCGCCTGCCGTCCCTGAGCGGCCCGACCCCAGCACTGTGAAGCCGGTAGTTGGCGACTACCTTAAGCAGCAATTTGTAGAGTATCGCGTTGTGCCCACCATTCTAGTAAGCCAAATCACCTCGGAAACGCATCAGAATCAAGCTAACGGAAGCAGTCATTTTTCTTCGCCTACCCGTGGAACAACTTTCTCCACAACGTGGTATATGATATCGTTCAACAGGTCTTCAATGGCCCGATGGACAGGGGCTTCAACCCTACGCTGGCCGTATCATTATTCGAGGCCGCAGACATCACTTCTGCCATAATCCAAGGCCAGCTCGCTAGCGACGAGTCCCAGGCCAAGATCAAGACCCGCATGGGCTACATGGGTCACCTGACTCTGATCGCTGAAGAGGTGGTCAAGTTTACGGAACGACACCCTCCTGAGCTGCTGTCGGAGACGGTTCTCGAGCGGGTGATGGACCCTAGATGGATCAACTACGTGGAGGGAGCCCTCGCGGAGACCAGAGAGCGTGATAACGCCATTCTTGGTGGTGTCCGACCAGAGGTGGCCCTTGGCAACCGCGCCGGCATGTCTGGCAACGGACTGGCCGCAGTTGGGCTTTCTGGCCTCGCCTCATCCTTCTCCAACTCTGGAGGAAACACCGGGTCAAGCGCCCTGGCCGATGCCGGACTCAACGGCAACATGGACCTGCAGGAGAACAGCGGCAACGGAATCGGACCCTTTGCCATTAGCTCGGGTACTCTCATGTCCGGTTTCGGCAGCTCTAGCGACGAGGAAGACGAAGGTGAAGAAGAGAACGAGGACGACGTCAACAATGAGGTGAGTAATATGCTCTCTGAGCTCCGTGAGATGGAAACTCCCGCGTTGGACCCCTGGACGCAGTCACTCTTGGACAACAACCCCGATTCGGACGAGGAGAAAGACAGTAAAGATGCGTAGTACGCAGATGAAGTTAGAAGGTCCCCTCGCGGTCACATTTTCCATGAGGATCACGCCTACGCTGGCCATGGCATTGGACTTGGGCTTTTGGGCAGTGAGGACGATGATGATGATGAACCGGTTATTGTGTATCGAGATGGCGAGACGAGCGGCGGAGAGGAACCAGATGAGGAAATGAGTATGGTTCGGCCCTCGCTGGATGTCGTGGCGTGGTTTAGACGGAGACTGAACAGAAGCGATATGGATGAGACACTGGAGGAATAGGCAGGACATGTCAGAGCCCGGGTGGTGTTGGGGCGCGTTTTCATGATGGACAGGGAGGGCGGCGAGTAGTGTATAGGCTTTACATGTTCCCCGTCCGTACCGGCGTCGATTCCTTGGGATACCAGGCACAACTGTTGGACTTTTATCCACTCGACCTTTTGGGGCTCACGACAATGACTTGCATCCGGGGAATCATTTCGCGTGCGCCTTTTTGCCAGGACCGCCCAGCTAATATCGCTCAATAGTTCCGGGCTTATACCGACCCATTGAACAACTCATCATCATCTCTTAACCCGCCTTCCATCCCGCCTCCGCCGCCTCCTCCGCCGCCGCTGAACATTCCTCCTTCCAGAGCCCGCCTCCAGCTGGCAGCCCGGCTCGCCATGCACCAGAAGAACAATGCCGCTGCAACGGCCTCTCGCGAGGACGGCGACGAGGACGCCAAGGACGACAAGGGGGAGGATGAAGGGGAACGACTCAAGAATCCGTTCGCGGACGACGAGGAAGATGAAGATGCCGACAGCGATGATGACGATAACGACGGCAATCACGGCTCTGGAGCAGCTGGGGCGGTGACTGGCGCGTGGGGTGCGTCAGGCCGGGGATCGTGGTGGCGCGGGGTATCGCGACGGGGCGGCAATCAACGATTTGATGGGCAAGACGACTCGGACGACGAGGTGGACGACGACGATGAGGAGTTTGGGGACTTCGCCATGCCTGAAGTTGACCCGGCGCCGGGATCCGACGGGGACGATAACGTGATCCTGAAGCCTCTTGCGGTGCACCCGCCTGGGTCTGGAGGCAAGGCGTTTGGGAGCCTGTGGCCGTTTGGCAGCGCCAAGGACGGCAAGGACGAGAAGAGCGAGAAGGAAGGCGAGGAGACGGTGGCGGGAGAGGATGAGAAGCCTGTGCAGGCGGCCGTGGAGGCGGCGCGGCGAACGAGCATTGAGGAGGCGGATGACGATGAGGAGGTTGTCGTGCAGAAGCCGTCGAGCCTGTGAGATGAATAGATGCCTTTATTCATGTGGGTAGACGGGTCTGCTTGTACTATATGTGTTTTGTTTACGCTGCATGGTTGTAGAATATGATTGAATGGAGAACACGTTGGAAACGAATCACGGGAGAGTTGTGAGGGGATATGTTGATGCTAAACCGTATCTTTTGCCTCAATACCAATCTTTGTGAAATCACTCATTGGTTTATCTACAGAGCATGCTTGACTGCTTCCTGTTTGGTCACTGCATTCTGACTTCTATATATCTCTAATGGGGGAAGACTGGTTTACTCCTTTGTTGTGCACGCAAATGTTTTTCTGCATCGACATATCCTTAGTACTCGCCCCGCCGGAGCTGGGCCCGAGACCAGACCGGAGCTCCGGACTGCGCCGGGGCAGACAAAGTCCGGGATACCAGTTGTTATTCTTCAAAGTCGGGCAAACTTCACGACATCAAACGAACTGGTTCTCCGGCTGAGTCTTTCCACATTATACTCCAATTGAGGGGTTCCAGACATCTTGAACGTATATATGGATGGGGAGAGTGAGCATTGAATACCGTGTTTGATCCTCTCGGGGCGCTTGAAGGGTCCAATCAGGGGAGCTTTGACACCACAGGACCCCTGGACTAAACACCTTGGAGCTGCTAGCTAAGTTATGGAAGTCAATGGCGGGTTCCCAGTTCCCCGACTCCGATAAGCGATAAGCCGGGGATGCTGCCGGCCGAGGGGCAACCTCGCTCAGGCGCAACTGAAGAGTACTAAGCGGAGGAGTAGGAGGAGGAGGCACATGCATCCAACAAGATGCGCACGTCTGGTGTTTTGACAGCAGCAGCATGAACGTGGCCATCCCACCCAGCCCCCTTCCCTGTCCATAACACGCCGCTGCGGGAAAAAAAGAAAGCAAACGGGGGACGAGGATGAATCAGGCACGGGAGGGTGCGGGAGCCGTCTGCTCGTCTTCTCTGCTGTCGTGGATGTCGCACAACCTGGCCGACATCATCGTCCGCTTCGTCTCTGTCATTGCCTTGGGCTTCTACGTCGGCGTCTATCTTCGCGTGAGTCAACCGTCTCTTCTCTTTCGCTGTCTGCCTGTTTTACTGCAAAAGAACTGCGCCCCGGGCCCGTCATCGATGGCGATACGGTCCGGAAATTCGGTCTCTTGCCTCTGCCCGCGTCCCTGAGCTTCACTCGTGAAACCAGACGAGACGACCTGCAGAGAAAACGCCCCCTTTTGCCTGCTTCAACGCACGATGACGCGGACAGCCTCGCGTGGGCTGACTCTTCTCGTTCGTGTCGTCTCTGGCCTTACGTCTACCTCTGAAGTTTTTGGCATCACTAGCTAACCTCCGTCCCCTTCGAGCAGCTTCTCTCTCGGGAGCGTCCACCTCCCCGAGTCCGCACGTAGACTACCTTACATAGGTAGCTGCAAACCCCTTTCGTTCCTGTTCCTGGGTCCTGAATGCCCAGAATCGTCCGAGTACCATCCTGTCACTGCATTCTGCATGCAACACACACATACACAGGAAGCTGCCCTCCCCTTGTTGTCCCAGAACCTATTCGCATCGCAGCACACGGTCTCGTCGACATCTGCGACCACCTCCTCGCGCCAAAACACCTGTGGAAAGGCCGTTGCCGAGTAGCTGAAGCAGCGCAACCTATAAAACCATGGCGGAGGGCGAAATGATCGCGCAGACGAACGGGGATGTCGACGACGACTCCCGCCATCCCCAACAAGTCTACCGCCAAGCGCCATCCCTCATGAACCGCATCGTGTACGGGACGAAGCTGTCCTGGCTGCAGTCCTGGTTCTACCAGCGCGCCAGCTTCGAGTTCTGGAAGACGTACTGGTTCCCAAAGTCGGCCGCGCAGAGGCCGGACCTGATGAAGCAGTACCCCTGCAGACCGAACCTCCTCATCCGGTACGTTTCCTTTGTTTCTGCCGTGTACTTGCGCAGTCCACTAACACGACGACGACGGGTAGCATCTTCTTCCCCTCAGACTACGACCAGACATCCCCGCAGACCCTGCCGACGCTCTTCTCCATCCACGGCGGCGGCTTCTCCATCGGCGTGCCCGACGACGACGACGCCTGGAACCGCACCTTCGCCGACCTCAACGGCGCCCTCGTCGTCGCGCTCAACTACTGGAAAGCCCCCTGGGCGCCCTGGCCCAACGGCCTGCACGACCTCGAGGCGCTCTACCTCGCCGCCGTGCAGGATGACTCCCTCCCCATCGACAAGTCCCGCATCGCCATCGGCGGCTTCAGCGCCGGCGGAAACCTGTCGCTATGCCTGAGCCAGCTCAAGAGCGTGCGGCAGCACCCCACGGCGGCGCCCAAGGCTGTCATGCCGATCTACCCGCCCGTGGACTTCGTGACGCCCTGCGAGAAGAAGCGCCACCGCCGTCCATACAAGATTGGCATGTTACCCGGGATCCGCGGGCAGCAGCGGGACTTCGTGCTCGAGTTCGCGCCCGTGTTCGACTGGGCGTACGTGCCGTACGGCGCGAACCTGAAGGACCCGCTGCTCTCGCCCAAGTACGCGGACAGGGCGGACTTCCCGGACAATGTGTGCGTGGTGGGCGCGGAGCTGGACTACCTTGCCTGGGAGGGGTGGGAGTTTGCGTGCAAGCTGGGCGGGAAGAGCGTGACGGCGGCGGTGGTGGGGAGGAAGGAGGTGGCCAAGACGCAGGAGCTGGAGACGGAGGACGAGCGGTTCGGGTGGGAGGTGAGGGATCAGAGGGGGAGTGTGAAGTGGCTGCTTGTGCCGGACGTGATTCACGCGTTTGATATGCATGAGATGGGGGCCATGGTGTCGGATGAGGAGACTATTCGGGACGGGAACGCGAAGGCGGTGAAGGTGATTAAGGTGCTTGGGGAGTGGTTGAGGGGGAGCGCGTGGAAGGTTGAGGGGCGGATTGAGCAGTAGATGGGCAGGGCGAGGTTGGTTGGCATTTCTCGACTTTCGTTTAGGATATTATTCTTCAGGGGAGTTGGTTGGGATGTAGACTTGGCGTTTGAATAGCATCATCACCTTGAATTTGATAAAATGAATCTTCACCGGATGCTAGAGTGTGCCCTGCAGGCTGAGATGTCGTTAACCGCCGAGGTCTGTTGGTTGGTCTTGGTAACGCCCCCAATGTGACTCTGGACCAAGGAGGGCTGTGCAAATGTGTTCGCATGTTGAGGTGCATGGCGAGCGGGCCGTTCCTGGGGGCCGCAGCGCATGCTCCGCCGCGTAGTTCGTGTTGGTGAAGATTGTGGGCTGTCTCCGTTGGATGTTGGTTCAGGGGTTGAAGGTGTGCCTTGCCTGACGTCCCCTGAGATGGCGATGCCGATATCTATCTGTTCGATGTGGGGGTGTTTTAGTGCATGAGCCAGACCGATGGCGATACTTAGCCGCATGCGCCGTTACATGACCCAGAATCTTCGTACAATCAGCCTCGAAGAACGTTGGCGATGAACAGGAGGCCTTGTATGGCCCTCTCCTGTGTGCATAGATCCATCCTTGTGCTGTGATGTTGGTTCCATGCTCAGTTTGCTAATCCCGTTCGCATAAAGTGCCTCGCATGATCTGATTTAACGAAGTTGGTGGTCATTGACATGGAGAAGATCGCCATGCTGAGCTGGCTCATGTTGATATGGATGGGCTACGTGGGTGTCATGGGCACGCAAGCACCGAACCCAGCCCGGTCTCAAGAAGTACATCTGGTCAGGCTCAGTTTTCTGAAGCTTCATTCTATCTGGAGAGGTTCGGCGGGACTAGGTACGGTCACTAAGTAATGGATGTTGGAAAAACATTGTCTTAAATACATGGAGTAGTGTGTTGAGGGTGTTCCTAGGCCCTCACGATGAGCTCGAAAATTGGTCTAACTTTGATGGATATCAAAAGATGTAGCGATTAAAGAGGCAATCTAGAATATCTGTTGTATTAGAGGGGCATGATTCATCCTACAGAGAATAAATGGACAACTATTCTTGATGTAGGTTGTACTTGGCAGATGGGGGCAGCTCATAATAGCATATACTTGTAGAACTCGATCCTGAAAGAATGAAGCAAGATCTACTAGAACCCTTCCAATTCTCCAGAGAATGCCGGAACAAAACTCACCTTCAGCCCTGTTGCGACCCGATGAATCTCTGCTTCACCAAATCGTGCATGATGTACCAATAATTACATGGGAACGATGACAAACAACAGCAGAGTAGCTTCACAGTCAAACTTCCGAACAACTACACAACATACCTCCACTACATATCTTTCTGGAGAACAATCATGATGAAGCTGGGTATTCCAGCGCTCAACGGTGAGAAGTCACGCCAAAGTGCTTGCGACGATGAACTACACATGGCTTTGAGGTATCAAGACAGCAGTGGATAGCACAAATTTCCGAAGACTTGGTCCGATTCCGCGATGGGCTTGATTTCTAAATGAGATTTACTCACTCTGCAGTCCAGAAATTGCCAGTGGAACTGCAATAGGAAGACTCCTGAATCCTTATCTCTCACGTAAGGGTTCATCTTGAGCATGCCAGACGACCCTGCAAGGAGATACACTGGATCAGGGTTGCTGTTGGAACAGAGCAAAGCTGCAGACATTCACATTGCCAGTAGAGTAGAGATACGCGGGATATAGACGCTACTCTAGACTCGCGCTCCGCATACAGGCGGCTATCGCGCTCGCGCTCACTCTCCGTAGATGGCAACGTTGCTTCAATAAACGTGATCAATAGTTTTAATTATGCGCGTGAATATAGGCTTGTGGGCCATTGAAGGCAAGCGTCCCTATATGTGTGGTCGTACAGCGAGTCCGTCCCGTGCTGGTAAGATACGCCGGCGGGCGTCATGCCAAGTCGTTGGAACCTCAAACAACTCAGTTGAGGACCATCTGGCTCAAACGGGTTCAGGCGTATCCGGTCTGTCTTTGTCTATGCAGTCACATTCATGCAGTTGGAAAGAACTGTTGGTAAAGACCTCTTGGTACCAAGCAAAGTCTTCCTTCCGACT